TTTCTAGAGTCAAGATCACAAGAGGGAAGGACATGCTCAGGAAAGTCAAGGAGGCATCCACTGCTGGGGGAATTAGGATGGAGCTGAGGAAGGGGTGTGATGGGCAGAAGTGTCCCCACAGTTTGGCTTAGCAGAGAGAAGGAGATTAGCAGGGGTATAATTCTGAAGTAGCTCCCCTCACCATTCAGCCACTGGACCTTGTTTTCTTAGCCACCACTTTGTATTTTTTCGGTCATGCTCAGAGGAAACATTAGAGAAAGAACCCTGGAGAAGAACGGAATTTAACTTTCCAACAATTTTCTGAAATACTATGAATGGAAACAAAACTCTTTCACTCAACAACCAATAACTCACTAACCACCCGCAAACAGAAAACAGATGCATGGAAATGATCAAATGAAGGGACAGAAATCCAGTTGATTAGTTCTAGTTATCACAGGTGCAAGTGAGATTAGGAGTGGCAAAGGTCAGCCAGGAGACAAAAATGAGTTACTCTGGAGGATAGAAATCCTATCCTGGACCATAGGATTGCTAATGAGCAAAGACCACCCTGGAGTTCTCGTGATTGCGGGTAGAGGAATCATATGGATAACTGAGGTCCACCAAGAGTCCTTCACACTTATAGTAAGCCTTTTCCCCCAAAAAAATTAATTAAGGAAAAAAAATGAATACGATGAAAGAAAGGTACCCAAGAATCTCCATAGATCCTTGGTTCAATTAGTCAGGTTTAGGAGATACTGAAATCCTATTAATGAAGCCCTGTTAAAAATCTGATAAAGAATCTGAATCCTTTTATTATAAGTGGAATGTTGCTGCTGGAGTGAGTATCAGAGGGAGGGAGGCGGGGTGTAGGGAAGGATGGAGGCCTCATAGCAATAAGAAGGAAGCATTTAGGATTTATTACAAAGGGGGGAAATGTGGAATCAGAGAGATGGGGAAGCAGAACACCCTGCCTGAGCTGGGAAGAGGCCAAGAGGACCTAGCTGGGTTGTCCGGGGTGACCAGAGATGGGAAATTCAATCCAAGTCAGCCAGATGAGCCACTGCCACTGGGAAGAATGTTAACCTGGAGGCAAAGGCAAACAGACTCGAGGTTCAGTGGCAAAAGCCCTCATTTCTCCAGGGACAGAAGAAAGGGTCACAGAGAGGGAGGTAGAGTGACATGAACAGCATTCCTCAAAATGCAGTCTGGAGAAGAATTCATGAACTGAAAAAGAGGTGACAAAGGAAATTGCTGAAAGAGTTTGTTTAACACATTCAACTCGTGCTAGGTTGGTTATGTCCCATGATATATGCACCCTGACTGTCTCAATTAGACAGGATTTTGGGCCTAGGTTCTCAGCATGTCCTGCTGAGAATGCACGTGGGAAAAGTCACGAGAGACCTCAGCTCTTGCATTTCAGGGGCACCTGCACTCTGCATTCTTTCCTGCCACTTCTATTCCTTTTTGACCCTTGGGTGATGGCCACAAGGCAAGGTGATGGCAAGGATCACAAGAAACATATTTGAAGGAGTCTTGGCTTGGAGGCAGTTTTCACCATTTTTTAATTCAACCAAAGCATCATGCAGCACTAACATGATACTGCTAGATATCTGTTGGTTTGAGTTGCATCTCTTTTTACTTCTTTTGTTTTCTCTTAGGGCTGGCTGACACCAGGAGGCTCACTTGTCGAGACACCTGTGCCGGGCATTGCCCCGGGGTGGTATGGTTAGGGTAGAGATGAACCAGACAAACACATAAAGGTAGCAAACAAATGATAGCCTGAAAATGACCAAAGTTGGGTGGGTGGATCCTGAATTAAACCAAACTGTCGTCCGGTACTATGTAAAGATGTTTTGGTCATTGAGGGAGGGCATAGGCAATGGCAGTCCTATAAGATGACAAGGGAGCTGAAAAACTCCTGTCACCCAGTTCTTTTACTGTACCTTTTCTATGTTTAGATACAAAAATACTTATCACTGTGTTAGAATCACCTACAGTATTTCATACAGCAGCATGCCGCACAGGCGGGTAGTATAGGAGCAATAGGTTATACCACAGAGCTTGGGTGTGCGGTAGGCTCTATCATCTAAGTTTGTGTAAGTACACACTACAAGGATTGCACAACAACAAAACTGCCTACTGACCACACGTGGGCAGAATGTATCCCCATCATTGAGTGATACACTGCTGTATCTTTATTACCTTATAAACAAGGGAGCTTCTCCTTTAAACCTCTGTGCAGTTATGACTCCATGGGAATGAGAATGGCTCAATGTTGCCAAATCTTTCAATTTTTCAAGAGAAACTGGGTCAGTGCCCACAAATTGGAAATCACCTCAGGATTCATTGACTCTTTCAGCAAACATTTGCCAAACACTTACGCCAATACTTGGGGGACAGTGGTCAACAATACTCAGGAACTTCCTGCCTTCCTGGGACTTCTTGTATGGGGATAAGTGCTAGGAAGGCAGGGAACAGGTAATGGGGTGGGAGGGCCTGTAGGGCTGCCTTTATGGAAGGGTAATCAACAGGCTTGATAGGAAGATGCTTGTTGTGTGTTGATCTAGAGGAACGAACATTCTAGGCAGCGGGGAAAGGAATGTCTGGGTCAGTGGTGGGCAGAAGGCAGGGTGGGAAATTTGAAAGAGGGTCAGGGTTAGACAAGGCACCCTGTCATTTGCATTAACCTGGATGAACGTGGAGGATATTACACTAAGCTCAGGCACAGAAAGAGCAGTACTGCAGAATCTCGCTTATAGATGGAATCTAAAAACGTTGACATTTGGAGTGGAATGGTCATTCCCAGAGGCTGGCTGGGGCAGGGGAGGCAAGGGAAGTGGAAATACTGATCAAGGGGAACCAAGTTTCAGTTAAGGAGAATGAGCTTTCGTGATCTGTTGCACAGAATGGAAACTATTATAAATAGTAATGCAGATATATTTCAGAATCGCCTGGAGTGGATTTTAAATGTCTTCATCACAAAAACAATGTGATGTGATGGGATGGATTCAGTAAATAGCCCGATTTAATCATCATCTCACATTGTCAGCATATATCAAAGCATCACATTTTACCATATAAATACGCACAATTATTATTTGTTAACTTAAAAAGTCACCACCAGTTGTGGTGGCACTCGCCTGCAATCCTAGCGGCTTGGGAGGCTGAGAGGCAGGAGGATCACAAGTTCAAAGTCAGCCTCAACCAAAGCGAGGCATTAAGCAACTCAGGGAGACCTTGTCTGTAAATAAAATACAAAATAGGGCTGGGGAGGTGGCTCAGTGATTGAGTGCCTCTGAGTTTAATCCTGTGTAAACCCCTACACCCCAAAAAATCCTCTACTGCCAAGTGTTCCTGTCCCAAAATAAAGACAGGAACACTTGGCCTCTTGTAAGATACTGGTACAGAGATGGAGTGCTTTTGTGTCTTAATGAACAGGGCCTCGGGGGAGAGAAGCCTGCCCAGGGTTTAGACCACTTTCTCTCAAGCATGAGGAGACTTTCTTCCCATAGCCTAGGTTTCCTCCCCAGGCTCAGTAACTGAGGGAGACGGGAGGTAGGAGAGCACTCCGTAAGTACACTCAATCCTTCCGAATTGGTTTTTGTGAGGTTTGTCGGGTTCTGACGTGTGGCCTGGCAGCTGTGGAGGCTCCGATGGCCACCATATTGTTTCAGAGGATACCCCAGGCCTCTGGGATAGCTCCATTTTTGTGGTCACAAGTTTCTGGCTTCTATTTTCCTGAGGTAAGTTTTCCCCAGATATTATTTATGGATTCCAGATCACGACCCAGTTGAAACATATGAAGTTGGCTCATGGATGGAGAGAGGTGATGGGGAGAGGTCGGCGAGGGAGTGTAAAAATCACCCCACACAGCACAGGTCTCCCTTCAGAGGCACCAATCAAGCACAGGTGCTTCCCCTCCTGAGGGCCGAGGTAGGTTTTCTGAGCCTGTCATCCTCAATCAGGCAGTTTTTATCAGAGAGCTAGTTCAAACTTAGTTTTCTTTTTTTAAATCACTATTATAGAAACCATATGTGTGTGCAGTTACATATTGCCTTCCCATCACCCCATCCTGCCCCCCACACCCTCATGGTGGGTAAAGTTTTTGCCTTGTTCCTTGAGACTTTCTGAAGTGGAAACAATGTGATGCTCAAGGGGAGAGGATTACTTTTCAGGCGGGACAAATCCATGCAAAGGAGGGCGGTTTATGACAGGACCGAGCTGTGGACTTTTCCAACAGCCGTTCCCTTTAAAATAATGGCATTCAGGGACCTATGAGCCAGGCATTTACAGAATATAAAATGGTCCTAGAAATTTCATGGTCCAAACCAAGAAGAACATCTTAACATTTTTTTATCAAATTCATTTTCTTTCTCTTTGGAATAATTATAAATCAGAGTTCTCAAGGCCCCCAGTTCCCAGCCAGCCATCCTGAGTAGTGTTGATGGCCACACAAACACGGAAGAGATGCCCTTCTCCACCAACTACTGCCCTGGGCTTTGGGGAGTAACATTTATGCCTCTACTCTTGTTCTTGCTGCTGCAGTTCTTACAAGCATGATCACGTGAAAGCTCTTACTTGATTCAGTATCTAGGACTAAGGGGAAGTGCAGACTTCCGAATTCTCCTTACTTGCTCTCAAAAGCAAGAAACACGAGCCTTATTTTATATTAAAGTTCTTAACAAGTCTGAAGGCCAGATTTGGGACTCTATAAACTAGAATGGCATTTTAGAACCTTGCTTTTAACAGAGATTAGCTACCAATAAAACAGCACGCAGAATATATACCAGTGGCTTTCAAAGTGTGATTTCCTGAACACTAGCATCAGGGACACGCTGGGAACTTGCTACAAATGCAGATTATCAGGCTTCACTCCAATTCTGCTCAATCAACAACTCTCGGGGAGGGGCTCAGCAGTTGGGTTTTGGTATTTTTTTGGGGATATTCTGATGCATGCTGTACAGCAATGACGTTCAATACTAAACCTTGTGTTAAACTTTTTTTTTTTTTTAATATAGACTTTCTTCCTGTATCTGAGACCCCAGTCTCAGTAGACTTCAGGATATGGTGTTCCTGATGCTTGTATTAAGAGGTGTATGGTATGTACTTTTAAATTGCTTTATATTAATTTAATAAATTTATATGGTAAAACAAATCTCCCCTTTTAAAAAATATTAGTGTACACTCACTCTGATCTCACTCTAATCCCTAGCTTTGGTGGGAAGCCAGAATTCTCCCTTGACATGGCAAGAGAAACCTGGACAGAGCAGATGGGAATGTCCTCTATTGTGTAGTTAAATAGAGTCTATAGAACAGTGATGCCCCATTATTTCTCCTGGTTTCCAGGGTTGGCAGGGCCGGGGGGATTCTTTTTTGACTGAGGTGGTGGGGCTAGAAATTTATTTGACTTTCACTTCATTATCTGTTCCCATAAGTACTTCAACTCTGCCCTTAAAATGAAGCAAGAAAATCATTATCAATTTTAGGAGGAGAGCAGGTACTAAAGACAGGTAGGGCTAACATATGAAATTTCTTATTGATAATTCCATGGTGTTTTTTATTTAAAAAAAAACAACAACAAAGAATAGACTTGTGTTCCAAAGTGAATTGAAATGCTGAAAATTTATTGTGGAAATTAAATGAATTGCCTCTGACAATAGAAAATTTAATAATGACATCATACCCTAAGGGAGGGATGAGGGTAGAGTTACCAGGATTCTGCCAGGGGACAATGGATAATGAGCGTTTTCTCATTTCTTGCTCTTCCTCCTCCTTCAAAAAAGTACTGCACATGTACATGATTAATATTGAAACAGCTACAATACAAAGTAAATTACTTTTGATAGACATCATATGTCTGAGACTCATCATTAGTTTCCTCTCTTTCTGGTAATGGTTCTCCACATTTGCTTTAGGAAAGTACCCTCTATCCATTCCCAACTTTGGAATTTCATTTGGATGGTGTCATCCTTGGCTCTAGGGCTCTATCCTGATGGATTTAAGTCAGCTGGCAAATTGCCTTCTTCTTGGATATAGTGATTGGTTTAAGGCTGGGTATTTGGTCCAGCCAGAGCCAGTGGGAGCCCAGATGACATTTGCTGGAAATTCTGGGAAAATGATGTGGTCTCTTCCTCTGAATTCAGTGGCAGGCAGGAGAGATATCAGCTTGATATCCCTGTGATCCTGCCATGGGGAGGGAAGCCCCATGAGGATGGGCCTGGAAAAACAGCCACAGATGCAGAAAATCTGGACCTGATGCTTGAATCAAACATTTCCAGAAGCCAGCTAAACTCCTAGACCTTAAGATTCATGAGTTAACACATTGCATTTTTCTTGTCTAAGCCAGATTGATTTTTTTTTGTCATTTGAAACTCAAAGAATGATCAAAGTCATAGGTCTTATAACCAAAATGATAATAATTAAGATTTAACCTATAGTTTGATGATTCAGAAGGTCCTCTAGGAACTTCCAGTGTCTTGGCTTACATTGACTATATGTGTATATTTATCTTCTATATTCTTGATGCTTTGACATCTGGGGCCTCATTACTTGGGAAGACTTCCCCTGATGGGGATAGTTAATTCTCAGACATAGCAAAGGACTTGCTGAGAGGTAGGGCTTTCATATATCAACAAAACCAACCAATTCATAGCCCTTGCTCAGAACCACTTTCTTTGCCTGGCTTTTACATTGGAGGAAGCAATAATTCCTCTGGTGCTCTAATCATTCCAGGGCAGAGTACCAGACAACTAGAGACCACCTCTGTAGCCCAGAACCCCCTGAAATTATTTGAACTAGTCAATTCCAAGCTGCTTACCCTGCCTTGCCTTTCCCTTGACTACTATAGAGGCTTCTGCCCATGTTTTTTTCTAATAACACTCTTTCTGCCTCCTGACTGACCTTGATACCTGGTACCTGGTACCTTTGTGATTTGGTATACCCCTTTTTTGGGAATACTGAGTAATAAATTATCTTTTTAATGACTGTTCTCTCTTGATGCCATAACTGAATAATAAAAATAAAAACCCCTATATTTTAAATAATTTAAGACATAATGATCAGTGTACTGTGAATGTCAGAAAGGATTATTTTTATAAATATTTTTTTCTTTTTTGGTGGGGATAGAGGAGAAGAAGGGAATGCTTGTTGCTATATTTCCTTTTGAATTTTGTTCTAAGTGTGTTAATGAACACCAAAGCCATTAGTCCTGTAAAGACTGCATAGCAATAGGTAATGATAATTGGAATCTTGTATTTTTTATTAGATTTGTTATATTTTGCTTTTTATTTTTTGATGATGGTGGTGCGAATGTGAAGAAAGTTCTAAGTAGACACAAATGGTGATAATACAAGTTATATGGTTCATTCTGTTTTTTACCCTAGCAGCCCTCGGAGGGTGCAAATATGGTAGAATGAATGGCATTGCATCAGTTTGTGTTGCAAAATCAGTTTTGATCTAAGAATTTATTATTAGTAAGTGGTTTAAAAGCCAAAATAGTGCCATCATTCACCTACTCCTCACCCTGAAAGAACCCTGCCCCCAGCAAGTCCAAATCCCATACTTTCTTCTGCTACTGACTGTTATGGCTCAATTTTATGGCTGGCAAGACTAACAGGTCAATCAGTATAAGGAAGAAGGGAGCTTAGGTTTACGGTTTGGGCTTCTAAACACGTAATTTCCTAGTCTGGAGAGTCGAAAGCTGGAGTTCATTCATTCTCACATTTATTTATTTGTAATGGGATGCCTGGTGTAGATTGAATGTTCAATTTCTTTCTTTCTTTTCTTTTCTTTTTTTTTTTTTACAAGCTGGAAAACTACCATTTTGTGGATTGTAAGTGGTTTCTGAATTATCTTTGTGTATAGCCTTCCATGAGATTCTGGGTGCTTAGTTTCAAGAAATAGAAACCAAGTCTGATTAGCTTAGGCTGAAAGATTTTTGCTTTTTTGGAAAGGTAATGGAAGGATAGAACCGATTTCTATAAGCTGTCTTTGGGTGATAGTACCATTAAGTTCTGCAGGCATTAACCAGATTGCCTCTTTTCCTATAAAGAAGCAATTTTCTAAGGTATACAATGGTGTAAAGTCATATAGAAATTCTACAAATGGATACACTGGTAGAATCCTGATAAATGAGATGGAGAAAGCAAATACACATTAAAAAATAAGCATCCGTTTTGCTAAGAACAAGTTGATGCCCCTCCATAATGGGAAGGCTCTGAGAGAAGCAGCTGGATTGCCCCCCTGAAGTATAAGGCCATGTGAGAGATTCTGAGTAGGGTGCTGTTGTTGAGCTGAAAGAGGTTCTGGTTTTGTTTTATCATCTAATGGAAACATTTACTCCTAACAGCAAGTTATGATGCTGATGTTTGAAACAGTAATGCTCTGTGGAGAAGGAAAATTGATAATGCTGGTCGAGAGAAGTTATAACTGCAGGGCCAAAGTTCTTTAAGTAGGTGAGTAGGGATAAACTGTAGCGTGCAAGTGAAGGGTTGGACCATTCGTTGCAACAGGAGGGAAAAGTGAGAGGTGGGTATAGATGTTTCTTATTTGCTCCTATTTTTCCAGTGAAATGAAGCATGAAGTTATCAGCTGAAGATGAGAATGGGGAGAGGAGACATTGGAGGGTATTAGAGTTGTTGAGGAGAAAGAAAAGGTCTAAAATAGTGTCTTGAAAAGGAGGGAAACAAATTTCCTTTGGGGACATTTATGATTGGTGAGCATTTTTGCATGGTTGTGAATCTTTCTCTAGCTATGTGTAAAAAAGTAGAGTTGGACGGACCCTGGTTCTCACAGAATTGATAACCAAGTGTAGGAAATTAGGTACTCACCAATGGAAGCTCAGCAGAATGAACATTTGGGGTAGGGCATGGCCACAGCTACTGATGTACAGTGCTGCTGCCACTAGACCCAACCATCTCTTGACACTCACTGCTGGACACTACAACTCCTAGACAATTCTGGAACTATTCAACTATCAGCCACTGCAAAGCTAATCTCCATGCACTTGGATCTTCGTACCACTTGCTTGTGATTTTAATGCATTGGGTGGGGCTAGCCAGGACCACCACCAGCATAAACGGAGCCTTTATATAAATTAGAAAAAGACATCCATCTTCCAGACATTTTACTCTCATCTGTTGGAATGTTTTTAGAATAAATGCATAAATCAAGAATGACTAAGATGTGCATGGCACACTTTGGAGCTGAAGAGTGTATAAGAAAACATAGCAGCAGCCCTGGTCTCATCTGTGCCCTTGATTTGGTTGCTAAGTTGTGGAAAGAATGTGAATCACCTACATTAGGCTTTGTGGATCTGCACAAAGGAGGTTCCTCCAAATTGGGAAGGAACATTTGATCCTGATCAGGAATCAAATGGAAAAGCCCAATATACTTCTAT